ATATACATATATATATATACATATATATATACTTTACTACTTCTTAAGAATTATGTTTTAAGTTAAAACAATTAAGTCTTTAAAATTTACTCAAAACTTAAAATTTTTTCTGTTTGTTAACATGATTCGGAATATCAAATTAAATCGTCTTTTTTACTCTTAAGTAGTTTCTTGATCTGCTACTTTTGACTTTTACTAAAGTCAAATATGTTAAAGTTGTGCTGTTGTTAAAGTACAATGTTTGGGTACCCTTCCTAACAAGCAACACACGGATGTCGATATTTATTTCTCTGAACATTCGAGAAGAAACTGGACGATGACTTCAGGGAGTGTGAAAAATTAAAGCGGAAATGTTGGGTGGATGCTAATTGGTTTAGTAACAAACAAAAAATGTTTCAAGTCTAATTTAAAACGCTAAAATGGGGGTGATATGCATGCATCTGGAGATGTACAGCTGCATTTTGGACTACAGCAAACATACAGCAGACAACTAAGAGGCAACAGCATGCCAAGGCTTAACTTTTGCAAAAAGGTGAAGATAGTAACAGATTAATTTGATAAATGGATCGACTTGCTGGTTGAATTGAAAATTCTTCTCAGAGTCACCCCCAGATTTGTAATGTCAGTAAATTCAAAAGCACTTACATTAATCAATTAATCAAAATGTATTTGGTCGTCTCTACATTTAAAAAACAACTTTGGTTTAACTAATATCTCTTTTAAAAGATAACGTCAAGGAGGTTGTAGTAAATGGGACTGTTACCAGGTTTTAAAGATGTATACCTGATGTTTAGCTGTGTAGCATTGAAGAAAAATACACTATTAAATTACAGCTTTGAGGACGAACCTGTCAGAAAGCATGTTGAGCGCCGAGCCATTGAAACCAACATAGTGGCTTAAGCAAAACAGAAGGTTTCATTTTGTGTCACTTAAGACAGATGAGTGCCATATTTATATGATTTACATGATATGACATATGATTTTACATTTTCTTTTACCTTCCAACTGGACACGCAGTTCTGATTCATAGCACCACCAGAGCAAAGAGTGCTAACAGCACACAGCAGAAGAACAGCTGAAAAGACGAAAAGAAAAAAAATTAGACACATAGTATGTTTCAAAGACTGATACAATTTAGCAGGTTTTTACTATTAATTTAACAAATATAAATAGTGTCGACACAAATGCTGTAGTGTATATTTGTGAAGTAGAAGGACAAGAGTACATTTTTACCAGAAAAAAAAAACATGAAAAACCGCATGCATTCATATCCAGACCCCTTTCTCTTTGGATCCCATAAGAAAAATTCAGTGTAACTAATTTATCATAGAAGTAACCAGGAGGCCCAGTTCAATTATGTAGGAGCTGCAAAGATCTAAAGTTTAGGTTGGAGAACCTGTTGTCAGGGCAACTATTAGTCAAGCACCGTCCAAAATACATTGATGGTTTCCATATGTTGAAAGGTTTTTAACTTAGGCTCTGTGGCAATTACCGTACCGCAAAATGCAGTTCACAGACTGCCACTACCTATTCTGAATGAGGTTGAGGTATTGACAAAGAATTGCAAAATAGTTCTACGTTGTAGCTGAAATTGTAGCCAAAGGTTAACAACAAAGTATTTACTCAGGGGGCCTGAATGCATTTGACACCTTTTGTTTTTGCACTTCTTCCACATCACATTACAGTGGTAATTTCTTCTTCTTCTTGGTCGTTTAGATCATATCCCTACTAAAATGCAATGAGATTCTTGGTTCTAAAGTAGCAAAAAGGAAAAAGTCCAGTGGAAGCGAAACATTTTGCAAGCCAGCGTAAAGAGGGTTCTTTAATTTGTCTGAACATTTTTTTTTTTTACAATTAGTAAGAATATTCAATATAATTATATATGCTGATGGAATTGTCAACAAACTGACAAACAAATTGACCACAGTATATAATAATAAAACATTTTATATATACTAAATGCAAAAAAATAAGTAAATACATATATATGTCTATATATATATATATATATA